TTCACCCAGAAACTGGGGATGTCTACAATGATCAGAAGTGTTCCCTTGACTTTGGAACTCTCTGTTTTCTCTTATTTTCTTTACATTTTGTTCTTTATACTCTCTTCTCCCTGTCACTGAGGTCTGAAAAAATATATAATATATTTTTTGCCTGCCTCTTCATCTCTTCTCCACCTTTCTCGCCGCCTTCTCTAAGTGTCTGCAATAAGTCCTATAGCACGTCTGCTTCTTTAACAGTTATGTTTATAATTCTTGTTCAATATGTTTTGAAAACTGTAAATGAATAAGAAATCCATCATGATTTGGCATTAAATAAGAGTTTATAGAGCAAAAGCTTAATATCTTGGCCTTATAACTCCACCCTGTTACAATTGCCAACCCTGTTATAAGAAAAAAGAAAAGCTAATTATGTGATGAAAGACAAGCTAGCACTTGGTGAACACTGAGAACTGGGAATGTTATGATTTATCACACCATAGAACTATTCTAAAACACAGGAAATAGGTTTATAAAACATTATTACTTACTCTGCTTGTAGATGTTTTTCAGCCATGAATAACTGTACAATAGAGGTGGTGTGAAGGGAGGGGCTGCTAGGTATTTTAAGGTCACAGGTTAGACAATCAATTGAACTAAAATTGAACTCAAATTGATCAAAAACAATTATGTGTTAAATATTAGTATTACAAAATAAATTAAATGGGAACTATCAAGTGTTTTCATCATAACTTGATTTTGAAAAAATAAATGAATTGAGGCACGACAGTTAAATTAATTTGCCTTTTATTATCTTTGTATTTTATTGTAGGGGGGGAGAAATATATATGATAATATTAATAAAATAAATGTCAGCCTTAACACAAAATATAATACATTATGGCATAGGGACTTAATAGACAGAGCCTGGAGACAACTAGGTTTTTTTTTTTTTTTTTTTTTTTAAAATTTGAACAATATAACAAAAATAAATACAATTTACAAATTCAAAAAAGTAAGTACTTTGCATGGTTTATAGCTAAATTAATCAAGACAGGGTACTGTATGTCTATTTGTATAGAACTTTTCAGTTACAAGAAGATACAAAGTGCTGTACATGAAGATCACATAAGAAAATAAAACACAGAAAATAGGCAATTGCAGTGGTATAATAAAGGAAGATAAAGTAAAAATGGAATACAAATTTACACAAATAATATTTTGCTTAACAGTCAAAAATGAGAGTCCAGGGCTACTTCAGACATATTGATTTTTAACCTTTGTTTTAAGCAATTAAGGCTTTCAGCACTAAAAGTCTTTTGGAACTATATTACAGATATTCCAGATAAGTACAAGAACTTAAAGCTTAAAGATTTTGCGTGTTTGTTTATAGTTCTTGAAATGCATAGTTGACTTAAGCCAGAAAACCTGAGAGGTCTAGGTAGTTGATACACTGACAACAAGTCTGTAAAGTATTTGGAGGCTAGGCCATTTAGTGATTTACGTACGCATGATTGCAGCAGCCACACCGATCCGTCTATCGATCTCCCGCTCCATTCTTCCCTAACTCGTGAACAGGACCCCAAGATACTTGAACTCCTCCACTTGAGGCAGGAACTCTCCTCCAACCTGAAGGGGACAAGCCACCTTTTTCCGGTTGAGAACCATGGCCTCGGACTTGGAGGAGCTGATTCTCATCCCGGCCGCTTCACACTCTGTAGGTCTTGGCAGGAGGGAGCCAGCAGAACTACATCATCCGCAAAAAGCAGGGACGAGATCCGCTGCTCCCCGAACCAGACCCCTCCAGTCCTTGGCTGCGCCTAGAAATCCTGTCTATAAAAGTTATGAACAGGACTGGTGACAGAGGGCAGCCCTGTCGGAGTCCAACATGCACTGGGACTCCTTCTCCGCTTGTACAGAGAATGGATGGCCTCTAATAAAGGGCCCCCGACTCCATACTCCTGGAGCACCCCCCACAGGGCAGCATGAGGGACACGGTCATTGTTTCTCTGTCCTTTAGACAAAATCTTCATTTTTGTTTGTTTTTTTTCAACATTAAGATCTCTAGTTCCAGTGGGGTGAAATTGGCACTTTCTGTTGTCTGTTGTCATGGTGACTCGTTGGAATCGGTGCTTCACTGATAATGGCTTATCATACTCATTACACACAATCTAAACTCTGACTACTTGATTGTACTAATTCATAGGAGCCGTTCTTAAACCGATAACTCAGAGTTCCTGACATTAGGCTAGATAAGACTGCCTTAAGTTCAGGAAGTAATGGACTTGTGCATAGAGCCCATTACTGCTTCAGACTCATTTAGCATAAGAAGTTTTGTTTAAACTGTTACTGATAGAGTGATCACTTTGGGCAAAAATAACCAAGTTCTGATTGCTTTCTCTGGTTCCTTATTGATGTAAAAAGTAACAAATTCTTAGATGAAACATGGAAAAACCATAAAAGAGGAACAAAGTAACAGATAAGGGGAATTCATAATGCTGACTAAACAGCCAGTGCCAGCTATTCAGTGCTTTACTTTAAAGAATATGTGATAATTAAAAGCTATGCCATGGCATTATGTGCTTATGTTTCGATTCCAAAGATTATGTGAGTTTTGATGGGTCTGTAATATATAAAAAAAAGTTCTCCATCAAACAATAGTTGGTTGAAGTCATATTAGATGAAAATCAAAGTTCCCAGATCCTTGTTCTAAACACAAAAACAATGCTTCTCATCTGGATTTGCTATATCAGATTCAAAATGACCAAAAACCTGGCAAATGTCCTGCAAGTGAAGGCTGGAACAACAGTTGCAATCATTAGTGTGTAACCTACTGACTGTGAGGATTAAGACTTGCAGCTCTCTCTTCAAAGATGAAAAAAGTGTTCAGTCCAGGCTTCTATCCAGTTGATCCTGCTCCTTGTTAAAACCTGTGATCTAGTTGTCTGTGACCAAAAAAGCCTGCCACTATTTTTCTTTCTGTATGCTGACTTGTGGTCTTTGTATACTTTTATATTGCACAATAATTCTTTGAAAGTTTTGGTAGTGTCACAATACCAAATCACATTCTCTTGAACAATTTTATTGTAAACAGACAATTTTCTAGCTATTTAACAAAAACACAGACTAATATCTGTAGCTTGGGTACCCTATTAGTGCTTTTTTCAAACCCTCCTAAATAAGACATACTCTGACTGGAGTTTGCTATGGGTAAGATACTGTTCTGTTCTATCAAAATACTTCTACAAAGCAATTAAGCTGTTATCTGAGAGTTTTTTTGGTTTGTTTTGAGTTCCTGTAAAGTACTGAATGATGTTTTTGTCTTCTATTTGTTGCAGCTGAAGCCTTTGACATGACTCAACTCATAAACTATGCTGTTTCAAACACAACCTGCTCTATGGTCTATGGTAGCAGATTTGATTATAATGACAAAGAGTTTCAAACAATTGTCACCCGAACAACCCAAGGCCTTTATCTTCTGGGCTCACCAGCAATACAGGTGATGTATCATTGGTTTCAGTGTAAAAATAAAACAAAGAAAAAAATTATATACAAAATAAAATGAGGACATTGTGGAGTTTTTTTTTATTTTTTATATATGATATGTTCTTTAATAGCTCTACAACTTGTTTCCAAAAATCGGAAAGCTGCTGTTTTTTGCCAGGAAGAAATTGAGAGATATATTTGCTGCCAATAAAAGACACCATTTGATGCTACTAAATCGACTGAAAAAGACCCTCAATCCAGACATGTGCAGAGGAGTTGCTGATGCCTTCCTGGTTCGTCAACAACAACATGAGGTTAAGAACCTTAATACTGCATCACTAAAAACAATATATTATGATTTTTAATATTGTTGAGGTGGGGGCACACATATCAACCCTGTGCTCTTCTTTTTGGTCTATTTTTTTAACATTGTGTGCATGTATTGCATCCTACACTTAAATCTAACACGCACAGTGGCCTAGACAGGTCACTTTATTTTACATTAACCTACTTAGGCAAATCTCTCCACTATAAATATTATATTCTAGTGTTTATAGCAACATATCTTGGCTCTTCATGATTAACCGTCTCCATAGAAACGGAGCTGAAGGAGCCGACATAAAGCCATGATGCATGGTCAGGTGGTCAGTAAGGTTATGGAAGCATCCACACCAACCACTTACCCCTAATGTCTTTCTTGCCAATGTAAGATCCCTGGCTAACAAGTTAGAGGAGCTGGACCTACAGGTAGTAATAAATGTAATGGTGAAGCAATGCTGCATTTTCTGTAGACAGAAACCTATTTTTACTTCTCCATCCCAAAGCTTCTAGAGAGCAGGCTGCAATCCAATCCTGAAGTTTGGCACCCAACAAAGCACTCAACTCCGCACAAACAGGGGGATCAAAAAACTTTTACCTGACAAGGAGACAGATACACATTTAAAGGCATTAAATTACATTCATGCAATTCTGCCTTGTAACCTCACAATGAAATAAACAGACATTCAACAAATTGACACAAGCTTAGACAACGGACACAATGCGTGGAATCAGCTCCTGTCTGAGTTCAAGATGTTGGACACTATTTCATTGGACTTATTTCAAGCGGTTCTATCAGGTCTAACATCTAAAACACTGTAAAACAATGAAATAAAGGCTCAGAGTCAGAATTCTGTTTACTCGCGAGGAGAGTAGGAAGAGGCCGTGCAGGTACATCTCCACCCCACTCTGCCGGTCTTCAGCTTTCTCCTCACTATTTATTAAAGTCGGGGGGGTCCCTAGTTACACAAGCTGAGGTTGCGCTAAAGGAATAGGAAACAAGAAATACAATTCAATTTGCAGCCTCAGTGAACAGGTCAATTTGCATTTAAATGTCTTGCGTCAAATGATCCGAGAACCTCCTGGTTTCGTTAAGCTTGAGCAATACTTCCTGAGAGTTGACCCTATACTGCTTGTGCATCACCTCTCTGGAACAGTGTAATATGTCACACATTATACATCATAAGAACAAACATTAAGTATCTTATAAATAATTATTCCAACAGGTTCTTAAACATAGACAACAAGCCTCTATGAAACAGTTTTACTGTTTTGCCAGGCAAACAAAGTGGCGGGTGTGTCTCAGGCCATGGATCCCAAAGGGAAAAAAAGGAAGATACCTGATGTGAACAGAAGAAGAATGGACTGAATCATTTGCTTTCATTACCAATTAGGGAGGATATCCTGCATGTTTGCTTTGTAATAAGATGTTGTCAAAAAATAAAGAGTCATTTGGAAAGGCATTTCCAGGGAATGCATGCTAAATATGCAGCCAACCACCAAGTTGAAAGTGAGAGAAAAAGTGCGTTTGCAGAACTTGTGGATAAATTAGAGGAGCGCAAATATAGATTTAAGAAGTAGATTGCATCTCCAAACTCCACTACTGCTGCTAGTTTTGTTGGAAGCATAGAAAACCGTCCACAGATCGAATAGGTAGCGCTCTGGCGCAGGGATGGGAATTTTCTTCATTTTATTCCACAAATCCACAAAATAAAAATAAGGAACGCTGGTGATGGAGGATGTAGGATTTCTGGATAGAGAGAGCAGAAACATGTCCAGCATAGAAAGATTCCTTTATTGTGTTTCTATAATTTCATCAATGCAACAGAACCTAAAACGCACGGTGTAGCGGCACGCAGTGTTCACCGTGATTGAGCCTCTAATGAATTAAAAAATAAGAATGAATACCAGTCTCTAAAAATGTAAAGTTAATGGAGGAAAGTAAAAAATCCCCAAACACTTTATGGTTATAACTAATGCAAAATATAGTCTTTACCTGCAATGATTAATGGGGTTTAATAACATAGGAAGAACATACTCAATAGACTTTAAAAAATTAATCCATAATTTTCTCTCCACAACACAATTCTAACCAATTTCTCCTCACAATAAATATAAAATATATGCAATAAAACAAAATCTGAAAATGGTATGGATACCACTCCAGGGCTCAGGACAGTTACATTTTTCTCAGACAATCTACTGTATGACCATTTACATTACTACTTTAAGATAATGTCTTCGTGCAATGCTGTTTACTTGTAGGAGGCTGGGATCACCAACTCTCACTACCACAATGACAACCTCCTAGTGACAGTCATGAATCTGTTTTCTGCTGGGACTGAAACAACTGCCACAACACTGAGATGGGCTCTGATGTTTATGGCCAAGTATCCAAAAATCCAAGGTGGGGAGTTACTTCTCTATCAAGATTAATTCTGTATGGATTACGTAAATAATGACATTTATCCTTTACTTGGATTTTTCAGACGACGTAAGACAGGAGCTAAAACGCGTAATAGGAGATCGGCAGGTGCAGGTTGAGGATAGACAGAACCTGCCTCTGACAGACGCTGTCATCCATGAGACACAGAGATTTGCCAATATTGTTCCTTTGGCTATTTTTCATAAAACAAGCGAAAACATAGTCTTCAAGAATTATTTGATTGAGAAGGTGAGTTCTTATGCTCGGGGAAGTAAACAGATAATTACAGATATATTGTTTTTAGCTAAATAAAGCCATCTTAACTACTTGATTGACTATAATCTAACCATTATATTGTAACAATACAGACCAGTAAAAGTCAATCAGACCAGATTATGTTATAAAGCTGCTTTTATGCCAATAATAAGATAAAGTCAGTGCTCTGAAACCTCTTGTTTAGAAACAAAAATTGTCAGATATAAGTAGCTGGTATGTTTAAAAGAAGAAGACAAATTTCTTAACAAAGTTATCTGAGTTTAATTACTGATCAACCATTGTGCAAAGGAAACGGGCAATAATGAATTATAAATCACTGAATTATAAATCAATGGCTGTTAATCAACAGTCTTTAGTTTAGCATATCTGCTTATTAACATACTGTATTTATAATATAAATTAGCTTAAACTTAGGGCTTGTCCGTGGTTCTACTATGATTTCAAAAACTGTTGAAATCATGCAACCCTGACCAGCTGCATGTTTTTCTTAAAGAAGCTGAACAACTCCTTCACTATTTAATTTATTCATCCATCCATCTTCTTCTGCTTATCCGGGGTCGTGGGGTAGCAGCTTCAGTAGGGAGAACCAGACGTCCCTCTCCCCAGCCACTTGGGCCAGCTCCTCCGGGGGAATCCCAAGGCGCTCCCAGGCCAGCTCAGAAACATAGTCCCTCCCCAGCGTGTCCTGGGCCTCCTCTGGCTGGGACGTGCCTGGAACACCTCACCAGGGAGACGTCCAGGAGTCATCTTTACCAGATGTCCGAGCCACCTCAACTGGCTCCTCTCGATGTGGATGTGTAGTTAATTTAATTAAAAGCTAATAAATGATCCAGTTAGGGTCCTTTATTGATACTGGATTTGGCAATAGAATAGAATAGAATAGAATAAAATAGAATAGAATAGAATTGATGGTGCAGCAATGACCAATCTCCTTCCTTGATGACAGTTTCAGTTGGAGATTACCCATTTTGTTGCCCAAAGAGCGGACGTTGGAGAGCAGGATTGATGGAAGCGGAGGTCTGTGGGGATTCCTCCTTAGCTTCACAGTTATCCCCCCTCTGCATCCTCGTTTTCTCCATCTTGCACATCTCTTCCTCCGGCAGTTACATTCCGCTGTTGTTTTGTTGACATCCGTCCGTAACACTCTGTAGTTTTTTAAATGGTCAAGAATGTCTGGATTTAATACATTTTGTGACCGTAGCTCCAGCAGGCATTGGCGATCATAGATGTTGGTTATATGTCTAGTCTGTATCGTATTTAGCTGCATATTATGTGAACTTATCAAAATTGTCGAGAGGAGCCGTTCTTGGTCGCTGCTTTGGAGCACTGGCAATGTGTTATATTATTATGTGTTGGATGATCCCAACTTGACAGTAAACTGAGGCACTCTCTTTATCCAGAATTGAGGTCTTTCATCTGCACTCAAATGAAAAGTGGGGTATCTTCAATCAATGGAAATAATCCAATCAATGGAAATGGGAATACTAATTCACCAAGGAAAAATCTGACAATATCCTCCAGGGTTCTACCAGCAAACCCAGGCAAAAAATAGGAAAATAAATTAATAATTTGAAAAAATCAATCAGCATTTCCTTTGAAGTTTGATCAGAAAACCCCTGGAAAACCCAGATGTCATTTTCCTTTGAGAAACAGACTTTGGCTCCACTGCTTGGGTCAGAAACAAAAATAATTATTCTTGTGAATACTCTGACCATTAATTTAGAGAATAAAATAAGATGGTGGTGTTTCTTGCTTGGCTCCGCTGAGATCGTGTTAGGTTTCTGTTTCTCTTATGTTTTTCTTTTGCTCCTTGATTTCTAGTGTTTAGTTTTCTTTTCACCATGTTTCTTTATTCTAGTTATTTGATTATTATTTTGTTGATGTTTTCTTATTAGTTCCTGTCTTCCAGCTTTTTATTTGTTATCCTCTGCTGCCCTCTTGTGTCCTCTTTCTCTTGCTCTGTTTTCTTTTCTGCTCTCATCTGTGTTCAATTCCCTCATCAGCCTTCTTCCTGTTTCT